CCTTAATTTTAGTTAATCTTACTCATTATTTTGTCATCAGTTGACACGATATTTGTCATTAAATCAATAGCATATTAAATGAATTCACTTAAAACGTGTTTCCTATTATTTTAGGAAATAGTCAATTATGTATGTAAAATAACAATTTCCTTATGGCTTTCACAAGAATTTTCCGCTTAAGTATAATTACTGTGATTTAGGTTTTCTTAACTTACAATATAAATAATCTTAATTAAATAAAATACAAAAAGCCTATCCCAGCACAAAATTGCACCACAACTTACTTTCATGTAATGTCTAGTCTAGTCTATAGTCTAGTCTATAGTCTAGTCTATAGTCTAGTCTATAGCCTAGTCTATAGTCCAGTCTATAGTCTAGTCTATAGTCTAGTCTATAGTGCAGTCTATAGTCTAGTCTATAGTCTAGTCTATAGTCTAGTCTATAGTCTAGTCTATAGTCTAGTCTATAGTCTAGTCTATAGTCTAGTCTATAGTCTAGTCTATAGTCTAGTCTATAGTCTAGTCTATAGTCTAGTCTATAGTCTAGTCTATAGTCTAGTCTATAGTCTAGTCTATAGTCTAGTCTATAGTCTAGTCTATAGTCTAGTCTATAGTCTAGTCTATAGTCTAGTCTATAGTCTAGTCTATAGTCTAGTCTATAGTCTAGTCTATAGTCTAGTCTATAGTCTAGTATATAGTCTAGTCTATAGTCTAGTCTATAGTCTAGTCTATAGTCTAGTCTATAGTCTAGTCTATAGTCTAGTCTATAGTCTAGTCTATAGTCTAGTCTATAGTCTAGTCTATAGTCTAGTCTATAGTCTAGTCTATAGTCTAGTCTATAGTCTAGTCTATAGTCTAGTCTATAGTCTAGTCTATAGTCAGTCTATAGTCTAGTCTATAGTCTAGTCTATAGTCAGTCTATAGTCTAGTCTATAGTCTAGTCTATAGTCTAGTCTATAGTCAGTCTATAGTCTAGTCTATAGTCTAGTCTATAGTCTAGTCTATAGTCTAGTCTATAGTCTAGTCTATAGTCTAGTCTATAGTCTAGTCTATAGTCTAGTCTATAGTCTAGTCTATAGTCTAGTCTATAGTCTAGTCTATAGTCTAGTCTATAGTCTAGTCTATAGTCTAGTCTATAGTCTAGTCTATAGTCTAGTCTATAGTCTAGTCTATAGTCTAGTCTATAGTCTAGTCTATAGTCTAGTCTATAGTCTAGTCTATAGTCTAGTCTATAGTCTAGTCTATAGTCTAGTCTATAGTCTAGTCTATAGTCTAGTCTATAGTCTAGTCTATAGTCTAGTCTATAGTCTAGTCTATAGTCTAGTCTATAGTCTAGTATAGTCTAGTCTATAGTCTAGTCTATAGTCTAGTCTATAGTCTAGTCTATAGTCTAGTCTATAGTCTAGTCTATAGTCTAGTCTATAGTCTAGTCTATAGTCTAGTCTATAGTCTAGTCTATAGTCTAGTCTATAGTCTAGTCTATAGTCTAGTCTATAGTCTAGTCTATAGTCTAGTCTATAGTCTAGTCTATAGTCTAGTCTATAGTCTAGTCTATAGTCTAGTCTATAGTCTAGTCTATAGTCTAGTCTATAGTCTAGTCTATAGTCTAGTCTATAGTCTAGTCTATAGTCTAGTCTATAGTCTAGTCTATAGTCTAGTCTATAGTCTAGTCTATAGTCTAGTCTATAGTCTAGTCTATAGTCTAGTCTATAGTCTAGTCTATAGTCTAGTCTATAGTCTAGTCTATAGTCTAGTCTATAGTCTAGTCTATAGTCTAGTCTATAGTCTAGTCTATAGTCTAGTCTATAGTCTAGTCTATAGTCTAGTCTATAGTCTAGTCTATAGTCTAGTCTATAGTCTAGTCTATAGTCTAGTCTATAGTCTAGTCTATAGTCTAGTCTATAGTCTAGTCTATAGTCTAGTATAGTCTAGTCTATAGTCTAGTCTATAGTCTAGTCTATAGTAGTCTATAGTCTAGTCTATAGTCTAGTCTATAGTCTAGTCTATAGTCTAGTCTATAGTCTAGTCTATAGTCTAGTATATAGTCTAGTCTATAGTCTAGTCTATAGTCTAGTCTATAGTCTAGTCTATAGTCTAGTCTATAGTCTAGTCTATAGTCTAGTCTATAGTCTAGTCTATAGTCTAGTCTATAGTCTATAGTCTAGTCTATAGTCTAGTCTATAGTCTAGTCTATAGTCTAGTCTATAGTCTAGTCTATAGTCTAGTCTATAGTCTAGTCTATAGTCTAGTCTATAGTCTAGTCTATAGTCTAGTCTATAGTCTAGTCTATAGTCTAGTCTATAGTCTAGTCTATAGTCTAGTCTATAGTCTAGTCTATAGTCTAGTCTATAGTCTAGTCTATAGTCTAGTCTATAGTCTAGTCTATAGTCTAGTCTATAGTCTAGTCTATAGTCTAGTCTATAGTCTAGTCTATAGTCTAGTCTATAGTAGTCTATAGTCTAGTCTATAGTCTAGTATAGTCTAGTCTATAGTCTAGTCTATAGTCTAGTCTATAGTCTAGTCTATAGTCTAGTCTATAGTCTAGTCTATAGTCTAGTCTATAGTCTAGTCTATAGTCTAGTCTATAGTCTAGTCTATAGTCTAGTCTATAGTCTAGTCTATAGTCTAGTCTATAGTCTAGTCTATAGTCTAGTCTATAGTCTAGTCTATAGTCTAGTCTATAGTCTAGTCTATAGTCTAGTCTATAGTCTAGTCTATAGTCTAGTCTATAGTCTAGTCTATAGTCTAGTCTATAGTCTAGTCTATAGTCTAGTCTATAGTCTAGTCTATAGTCTAGTCTATAGTCTAGTCTATAGTCTAGTCTATAGTCTAGTCTATAGTCTAGTCTATAGTCTAGTCTATAGTCTAGTCTATAGTCTAGTCTATAGTCTAGTCTATAGTCTAGTCTATAGTCTAGTCTATAGTCTAGTCTATAGTCTAGTCTAGTCTAGTCTATAGTCTAGTCTATAGTCTAGTCTATAGTCTAGTCTATAGTCTAGTCTATAGTCTAGTCTATAGTCTAGTCTATAGTCTAGTCTATAGTCTAGTCTATAGTCTAGTCTATAGTCTAGTCTATAGTCTAGTCTATAGTCTAGTCTATAGTCTAGTCTATAGTCTAGTCTATAGTCTAGTCTATAGTCTAGTCTATAGTCTAGTCTATAGTCTAGTCTATAGTCTAGTCTATAGTCTAGTCTATAGTCTAGTCTATAGTATAGTCTATAGTCTAGTCTATAGTCTAGTCCCACAGATTTTACTTCCTTTCGCGGACCCCTTGAAGAGCTTATTTAATTTCGGCGGACCCCCATACATATTTTTTTTTTTTCCCGTACATTGAGAATATATAATATTTCAGATAGGTTTTCAATTGCATGTTTTGAAGATAGAATGACTTCTTTGTTGATATGTTAACATGATGTTTAATTTTATGATCGTGAGATCTTTCATGTTCATTTTTCTTCAAGGTAGCGAAAAGGGTTTCTTTATCAAATATTGTCACATGTGCTTAAGGAAGTCACGTTTTCAAAAATTTGTTGCGATTGCAAAGGGTGAACTGAGTAAGTGAGCTAAGTTTTCGGGAAAATAATATAAGAAAGTTGGACTTCTTCTATGTTGTTGCGGAATGCGTTATCCGCATAATATATGATTTGAACTCTTTGTTAAAGTAGTGTGAATTTGGAACTTAAATTTGAATTTTAAAATACCAACGAATTATTTTACTTCATGGTTTTTGGCTACATATTTACGCGAAACGCTATGGATTTTCTGATGTTAATTTAATAATATGTATTGGTCGACAAAATCAAGTTAAAATCTGTGTATCACGTCGGATTGTAATATTTATAAAGAGATGCATAAAGAGTCACCTCTGTTTTGGAAATATATAATTGTTGTCCTTTCAAACGAGAACACTTTTGCTTACAATTTTATTTGTCTGAAATAAAAACCATTATTTCAGTACATATACAGGAAATAAAAATTACAAATCACGCAGTTACTTTACTTTATAAAAGTTATACAATAAATTTGTAGGGCCTAGCTTCTTCCTGATAAACAACCGAAAAAATAAAATTAAAAAAGTCACCAAAAAATTTGGGATTATTGCACAAAAATTGGATATATTTGTACATACATATAAAAGCAGAATATTGTTTATTCATGGTTTTTTTCGTTCGTCTTCGCGGACCCCCTTAGGATTTTACTACGGACCACTAGGGGTCCGCGGACCCCCATTTGGGAACCGTTGGTCTAGTCTATAGTATAGTCTACAGTCTAGTCTATAGTCTAGTCTATAGTCTAGTCTATAGTCTAGTCTATAGTCTAGTCTAAAGTCAAGTCTATAGTCTAGTCTATAGTCTAGTCTATAGTCTAGTCTATAGTATAGTCTATAGTCTAGTCTATAGTCTAGTCTATAGTCTAGTCTATAGTCTAGTCTAGTCTATAGTCTAGTCTATAGGAAATTATATACTTTATAGGTTCGGAAAAATTATATCATACAAATTATAAAGGGAATGACATCTTCCTACGAAGATGAAGGGTATAAAAACAATTTAAAAATATTCCTTAAAAAACAATAACAGTGTCTGAACTCATGTTGCATGTTTTAATTTCCGCTAGCGAAAAATAGAGAAAAAAACATAAAAATGTTAAAATGAAAAAAAAAAACAATAAAAGTTTATTTAAACTTATAAAACTTGTATAAATTGTTTTTAAGTGCTTGAATAATTTAAATATAACAAACGTTAAGTTTTTTGTTGTTTTAACAGTTGTTTGTTGTTATTTGTTAATATCTACAAGGAGTTGTGTTTCAGTTATTTGCATAAAATGAAAATTGAAAAATAAACAAAAAAAAAAAAAAAAAACTACGAAAGTATTTTTACAGCAAATATTTGGGGGAAATGGGTTAAAAAGGAAAATAAATTATTTAATGTTTATGTTAAATACAACAAATACCATTTTTATAATGTTGAAGTTAATATTTAAACTTGTGTTTTTATTAAATAG